CTTGCGTGATGTAGCTGGACCCGTTGGTGGCGTAGATGAGGTGGTCGTCCGCGTGTCGCTGCGCAGAGTCGTGCTTGTGGTGGTCGTCGCTGGCGCCCGAGAGGGACGAGCCGCGCCCGTCGCTCGTGTGGTAGTCGCTGGTGGACGCGGCGCCGCCCCCGCCGTCCAGCTCGCTGCCCTCCTCCGTGTCCACGTCGCTGGCCTCGTCGCCGCCCGCCAGGAGCGCCCTCCGCCCGTCGCGCATGGTCTTCCAGTCACTGCGAGGCGCGGGCGTGGGCGGGGCGGGAGGAGGGAGGGCGGCGACGGGCGAGGGATCCTGTTTGGCGGGCGGGGGCGGGGAGGGGGAAGGGTCCACGGAACTCTCCTGCAGGCTGTTGAAGAGCTCCTCTGGGATGTCGTGGTACGATTTAATGCAGGCGGCCACCACGCGGGGCGCCGCCTGCACGCCCGCGTCACCTGGCACTACCATGTCGTCGCCGACTGGCTCATGGCCCGCGGCGGCACTCGTTTCGTGGCACTCGCTCGCTCGCGCGCCGGGCACAAGGGTCGCGTGGTCGCAGCGGCACGAGGGAAGGGGACTGCAGGGAGCCGCGTGTCTCGACCGCTCAGCGTCCCGGTCCGAACTGAGTCCCGAGGCGGGCGCGGGGCGGCCGGGGCCTCCCCCTCCCCCTCCCCCTCCCCCGGCCTCCGCGCGCGCCTCCCCCCCGACGCCGCTCGCCCCCCCGCCCGGCCCCCCCTTCGCGCCCCCGCCGGCGATTTCGCGCTCCTCGCTTGCTACTGCTTGGGCTGTGTCGCCGGCGGGGGGGCTGAGGGGGTTCTTCAGGATGCCGACGATGGTGCCGTGACGGCGTCGCGAGACCACGGGCCGCACTCTCTTGATGGTCACTTCTTCCGGCGCCCTGGCCTCGCCCTCGGGTGCACTGTCGTAGCCGGGCTTCCTTGGGGGCGCGGAAATGTCGTTGTCGCCTCCTGCAGAAGCGTCGGCGAGGTCGGCCCAGCGCGGAAAAGAACTGAGTGTGTTGCGGTAGCGTCGGAGCGGCCGCGGTTTGGGTGACGTCCTCAGCGGGTTCCTGAAGGTGTAGGTGACAAGGGTGTCGGGCGGGAGATCGGGCTCCTGGCGGTCGGCTTCCTCCCCCTCGCCCGACGAGCCCTTGACCTGCAGAGGCGATGACTCGAAGAAAGCCTTGGTGCGGGACACCTTCCCCGACAGGCCCTGGAACTCGTCCTTGGCGGCCGTCGAGATGTATGTGGTGAGCACGACGGACGCAGGGCGCCGCGCCGTCCGTGATTCGCGTGTGCTTGCGCTGCGGAACCGCTCGAAGGGGCGCGGGAGGTCGGGCGAGAGGCAGGGTGGCGATGCCAACGGCGGACTGCGGGGGCCTTCCCTGGCGAACAGCGAGGGGCGCGTCGAGGGCGACGTGAAAGGCGGCGGAGAGCTCGTAGGCTCGGTCGTGCTGGGCTCCGTGGCCTCCGCCGCCGCCTCCTCCGGGGGCCCGGCCGCGTGCTTGACCCACGAGTCCCTGAGGAGGATCCGGCGCGGAACTGTGGCCGCCACGCCCGGAGGCAGCGACGTGTAAGAGCCCACCATGCCCTCCGGCGATGGGACCTGTGGGAGGCGAGGGCGCAGTCAGGAAGGGTTTATTTCTTTAATAATACTGGTAAATGATAACAGAGATATAAATGAATAATGAGGATAGCAATAACTGCAATATCAATAATTAAATTAGCAAATGATAAAAACAATAATAAAATAATAAACAGCCAATGCTTTCTCTGTAAAAAAAAATAAATAAATAATTATAATAATAATATTAATGATTGTTCCATCTATTACATCAAATAATATTTCATCATACCTGCCTGTCAACTAGCGTTTTTTTATCACCCATACACCCCAGACTTCGTTTATTGCCTATGGATAGGCCTTCATATTTTATACTAGTATCTTTCATTTGATACTACAGTACAGAGCATGGGGCCAGACTGTTTCTAAATTGAATAGTTAGTCTTTGGAAGGACTGTTTAAAATGAACATCCGAAAGTTAATAATTTTATCTTTATATATAAATGTTCGGGCAACCATACTATCTAGGCGTAAGAGTGATTTTTTAACTCAATAATCTACGGTAAAACACATGCCAAGTTTTAAACAATACGTTTACATCCATGTATTGTAACTCCACAACCGGCAAGGTTTTACATTGTTAACTAGGTCATTTTATTTCTTATGAACTTTATTGGAAATAATTAATCATAACATTAATTCTTATACCCACGTCTTTGATTACAGATTACACATGGGTAAATTTGTCATTATATGATAGTTAATGACCTGAAACAGTTTCAGTATTTTTTCTTAGAGATCTGGTAATTGTTTTCGATAAAATAAACGATTTTACAGACGGGAAAAATGTGAACATTATCAAATATATCTCAAGGCGATCGACATAAGGCCTGAAGAAATTATACGTTGGCCAGGGTTTGGGAGGCAAGAGTAGAGCTCTCTCTCTCTCTCTCTCTCTTTCTCTCTCTCTCTCTCTCTCTTGCCACTCTCTTTCTCTCTCTAACTCTCTCTCTCTCTCTCTCTCTCTCTCTCTCTCTCTCTCTCTCTCTCTCTCTCTCTCTCTCTCTCTCTCTCTCTCTCTCGCTTTCTCTCTCTCTCTCTCTCTCGCTTTCTCACTCTCCTCTCTCTCTCTCTCTCTCTCTCACTCTCGCTTTCTCTCTCTCTCTCTCTCTCTCTCTCTCTCTCTCTCTCTCTCGCTCTCGCTTTCTCTCTCTCTCGTTCTCCCTCCCTCTCTCTTTCTCTTCCTTTCTCTCTCGCTCTCGCTTTCTCTCTCTCCCTCTCTCGCTTTCTCACTCTCCTCTCTCTCTGTCTCTGCCTCTCTCTGCCTCTCTCTCTCTCCCTCTCTCTCTCTCTCTCTGTGTGTGTGTCTCTGCCTCTCTCTCTCTCTCTGTCTCTGTCTCTGCCTCTCTCTCTCTCTCTGTCTCTGTCTCTGCCTCTCTCTCTCTCTCTGTCTCTGTCTCTGCCTCTCTCTCACTCTCACTCTTTCTCTGTCTCTCTCTTACTCTTTCTCTCTCTGTCTTTGTACCTCTTTCACGTTATCTGTCTCTCTCAGCTCTCCCTTATCATCTCTCTGTCTCTCTCTCTCCCTCTCTGTCTCTCGCTCACTCACTCACTCACCCTCTCTCTCTCTCTCGCTCCCTCACTCACTCACCCTCTCTCTCTCTCTCGCTCACTCACTCACTCACCCTCTCTCTCTCTCTCTCTCTCTCTCTCTCTCTCTCTCTCTCTCTCTCTCTCTCTCTCTCTCTCTCTCTCTCTCTAGCCTTTTGAATTCAGACAAACAACCGGTCTCAGTAAAGCCATGAACGACACATATGCCTACATTAATCCATAGGTTTAATGTCAACAGTAATGTTATCAGGCCATTGGATATATTTTTTTCTCTAGTTTGTTCGAACAAATTAAAAGCTGTTTAGAATTGAACCCGTCATTCACTGCAGGTTTTGGTCAATATCATTTATAGTAAAGGACATGGACGTTGCTAATCTAGTGTCATCTTAAAAAATAGAATAAAGGAGAGACGAAAGAATAGGAGAAAAGAGGAGAGACGAAAGAATAGGAGAAAGGAGGAGAGACGAAGATTTGGTGTAAGATGGAGTGGCTGAAGATTAAGATAAAGCTGTTTTCATACAAAAAAAAAGTAATACAAAGAAAAATAAACCGGAAGCTGAAAACTGCTGCTATATATTTACAGTAGGTTACACTTTTGACTGATATATGCCAGCAGAAAATCATTTCTCTTGATGGACACTTGACTACACCATGCGGTCTTCAGGCAGCAGAAAAAAATCATATAGCAATGTGCAATATACAGTTGTTGCCACTGATATCGACGAGTGAAGCTATTCCAGAGATTACAGTGCGTCTTGTCTCAAGAAAGGAAAATTTGGCAACTTACTCCAGGATTTCAAATAATCCGATTCGTCAAGTTACTTTTGTATCCTACTTAACTGCCATTTAATACCTTATATTCGCATGTCTTTTTTTTTCTTTTTTCTTTTCTTTTTTTTTAAATTTATATCCACTATATTTATTATTACCATTGCTTTACATTTATTTTTTTAAAGGGGATGTAAAGAATCGGAGTTTTCCAGAGTTCAGGGTTGAGTTACCAATTCTTCCTTTTCTGAAATTGGATGGAGGATTATTCTTACAAGTGTAGTTCTAAGTAACGGTGGACGAGATCAGGCGTGTAACAACGGAACACGATGCGCATTTATGTATACATTATCATCACTGTTGTATACTATTTACCTTCTTCTTTATGCACGTACTAGCATTATGATGTGTACAGATCAGCTTTGTTGTTGAATACAGTAACCGACAGTAGCCATTAAGAGTATCTTTATTACTCGGAACGATTATACGGAAATATGCTAATCTGGACTGAAAATGTAATCTTACGTTCCTATGGTCATTTCACGGAAGAACATAAACGAACGCGCGGTGGATCTGTCAACTCCTCGCGGCCGGGAATTTAAAATACAAAGATAAATCAGCAGCAAATTATTCTTTCTAAAGTTGATAAAGGTGACTTTAATTATAATTAAATGACAAAACAATAATGATGGTTGTGATTATAATGGTGATAAAGGCTATAATGATAAAGGTAACAGTATGAGTTATACAAGAAAAGTAATGTCAGTAATTATTATTGGTGTTGGTGGTGATGGTTTTATTTTATATGTGTGTTGTCTCCATCATCAGCATTACTATTAGTAGTAGTGTCATTATTATTGTTGTTATTTTGCTGTTGTAGTTACCATTATTATTATTATTATTGTTATTATGTTATAAAATGATAGATGTCAGGATGTCTGACTTCACCATCGCTTTCCTTTATTTTAACATTACCACTACTTCGATCACTATTACTATTTCTTTGTTGTTTAGAATGCGTTGCGTCCTCTTATAACTACTTTTATTACTCAACCTAGAATATATATATTGCACTTTTCGATTAATTCTTTCCTTATCGCAGGGTCCACACAGCCAAATTTAGAGAAGAACCGCAGTCGCATCCCATTCGACGACTAAGGCGCAGAACGTTGGCCGAACTGAACAAGTAAATACTCAAGAGGCACGCGTGACGAACTTAAATCATACATGCATTGCGCGATGCTGAACGGTACCACGTGTGCGGCAGACGGCAGAACTGCACGTTGTCGACGAAATCGACGTTGCTAGGTACGCGGACATTGAACGTAAACGTGCGCAAGTCACACGCAGCACACGCACCATATCTGATGGTCCCACGCAATTTCGCACATACATTTGGCACGTGTAGTACATGTATGTCCCACGCACCCACGAGTACTGAGTATGTGCTACATACACACCTACACATGGGGCATAACCAACACCAAGTAACAGGGACATTTCGAACGGGTGCGTATGAGCAAACGTTCGCGCACGTATTGTGAATATTACGTGCGGATTGTCCACCGTTTTTTTTCTGTGCAGATTCGTCGCGCGCGCGTTGCAAGTCCTCGGCGAAACGGAACAGTTTCTTAGCACGTTCCGTAGCCATTCATCGAGGTCACTAAAAAAAAATCGTGGTTATTTTTTAGCTCTATCATAGATACCGCCACGTAACACAAAATATATGAAGAACCACGAGGAATTCCTCCGAGAAAAGTACATTTATCCCAAGTTGGGAAGGTGTGTGTGGTGGGTCAGTTATGTATGAACCTGTGAAAAAAGCGCCGTTCTTGTGTGGCCGTTGGTGTGTGCGAGTTCATAGGCCATTCCACAGAGAAAAGTGATCTCGAGGAATGATGATCGACAGGGAAAGAGAAAAACAGACGCATCATCCGAAGAACCGCATAGTCCATTGGCTGTTATTGTTTTTGTTTTTTTAGCATAACTTCAGTGAGCTTAGCGTAGAGAAAAAATGGCTATAGGGCGGCCATTCCTCCTGAATTTGTGAAAGTAAGTGGTCTATGTTTTGGATTCTGTCTGATCACACCAAAAGTTTTTTTTTTCTTTATTTTTTATATTTATTTATTTATTCATTTATTTATTATTATTATTTTTATCTTGTGGTTTTAAATGTCCTAGTGTCGAACGAGGCTCCTTATCCACACATAGAATCCTCGAACACTTAGGTCGACCCGTGCTCCGTTTGATGAGTTCGTTGGCTCTTAATGGCAATAGAGTTCGCTCTACTGTAGCGTACAGCATTCCTTTTAGCATTTTGGGGTTTATCATTCTGTATTTCATCATGACGAATACAAATAAGGCTACCTTACTGCAACTACATGAACAACATCAAAGAGTCCAATGAGCACTGACTTGGTAAACCTGCAACTGAAATGTGGCACATGCACATTAAATACGCGTGAAGCACGCATGCAGAACGTAAATCACACGTGCATAACACGTGCATTGCAATAGTATCAATGGATTTGTTAGGCTTTGATATTCCCTCTGCACTAGCGTCACTACTTACTACTACTACTACTTCTGCTGCTGCTGCTACTACTACTACTACTACTACTACTACAACTACTTCTATTTCTACTGCTTCTCCTACTACTAGTACTACTACTACTACTACTACGATTTTTCCTGTTGATGTTATTACTGCTGCAGCTGATACTAATACTGTTACTGTTACTACTACTGCTAAACTATTATTTTCTCAGTAAGCCGAAACAAAGGTCAAGCTATAAAAAAAAAAAACTCACCTTGTTAAAAAAAAAAGTTTGTGTTCATAGGTCACACGGCATTTAGAGTTTGTAAACGGAAGCTATTGTAAAACTTTTCACAGATTTGGACAAATAATGGGCGTGGCAGAGGCGCCCAGGGGGAAGGGGGGGGGAGTGGCGTCTTGGCGATTGCGAACAGTCAGACTCGACTACTTAACACTGGTATGATAACATCATCTTCTGAAGTACGTCATGATGGAAAACATGAGATAATTTGAACAAACATAAATCTAAATACACATGGTGGCCATATGATGGTCTGGTGAAGAAGAACAAGGGGTGCCTTTATACGCCAGGGGGAACGGCGAGAGAATTATGATGTTTACATAACTGAAAAGATTCGCTGTTTGAACTAGCATTCATAGCTGAGTACTTATGAAACCCAGATCATCTAAATATAAATAACAGATATGGTTACGAATATAAGGATTCTGAGTGGACATTATAGGACATTTGCACAAGATATCACCCTAACATCCCAGAATGTATTCGTGGGCAATAAGGACTGAATTGGCGTGTTTTAATATCCGTTCGTCCTTGTCACAGCTGATTATAGACCTGCTGGCGCCGACGCAGGACAGTCGAATTTCTGTAAGACCAGACGCAGGTTTTAAAGATCATGGGAAAGGGTCGAAACACTTAAAATGGAGACCTGACGAGATAACGTTCAGAGTGCATGTGGAAAACGATATCCCTAAGACAGTGATTTCATGGTTGATTTAAGTA